GTGTGTGTGTGTGTGTGTGTGTGTGTGTGTGTGTGTGTGTGTGTGTGTGTGTGTGTGTGTGTGTGTGTGGTGTGTGTGTGTGTGTGTGTGTGTGTGTGTGTGTGTGTGTGTGTGTGTGTGTGTGTGTGTGTGTGTGTGTGTGTGTGTGGCAGGGGGTGGGTGGTGATGTTCCAGCAGGAGAGGAAATGGGGCTGGACAGCATCTGTGTCATCATCTCATCTCAGCTGCAGCAACCAAATCATGATGTCATCATGTCAACCAATAGAGAGGCAGAGACACTTCTCTTCTTCTACTCTTTGATTGATTGCGCCAGATAATCATCTCAGACCGGTCTTGCATTACAAAATAAAAGCACTTAAATTGGGTGAAATGGACGGCAGAGCGGAGTGTGTTTTTTTGCGTCTTACTTCCTGGTATGTAGATGTTGTTCCACTCGACTGGGACTGCTCTGTGCTCGGTGTGTTGTGAGCGTGTTTATAAGGAAGCGATGAAGCAGGGGGTCAATCATTCATACGTGGAGGAAATGGGGCAATCTGGGGCCGGGTGTCAAGGAAGTGATGGATTTTAATGCTGCGATTGTAGTTAATGGCTCTTTAAATTAAATCGAGATTAAACGTCTCTGGCTGCAGTCAGAGCTTGTACAGGCACTGAGCATGTAACCCCCCCACCCATCTCCAAAAGACTAACTCTCCATCATGTCCTTCCACATCCGCCCCACTCTTTCTTTCCTAAACTTTACATCCACAAACGCATATTCAGAACGCTAATGGTTGTCTATGTGTCGTATCAAGTATTTATTTTGTCCAAATGCACATAATGCAATTACTCAATTCTTATTCAGGTTCCTGTGGGTCCCTAAAAACTCCTAATAGGTTTAATAGAAATAAGGCGTTTAATCATTTTAAAATGTTTTCAATTGATTATTCTAATTTTTAAAGGTTGAAGGCTATTGTGCTTTTTGGGGTGTTTTCCCTTCCCTGTAGTGTGTTTACTTCCGCAACAAAGTGGCGTGATAGGCTAAGGGGCGGGCTTTCGCTAAGCTGTTGACCAATCACAACAGAGCAGACAGAGGGTGAAAATAGGTGCTGCAGAACAGGCAGTATGAGAAAAATAAAGAGCTTTTTGAACATTAAAGGTAGGGTAGGTACGTTTGAGAAACTGGCTCGAGAAACACTTTCTGTTATATTCCATGGAATGCTCTTAACATCCCGATAGCAATGAATATCTGAAGTGCTTTGACAACAAATCCATAAAAAAATATTATCTGTGGAAGCCGTAGTACAAAAAGCACGACCAATCATTTTAGCCGGCCGGCTAAAGTAACTGGATGGCCTACCTGCCTGTCAGCCTTCCATCTGTGCACAAACTGATCTCGTGCCCTCATTGGTCATGTGAGCGTTCGTGTGTGTTGGAGGAGGGGCTCTGTGAGGAAGTGGCAGATTTTTTCCGGCTGTGTATTTTCAAATTCTAGCGCACTCGAGCTGGTTTCTCCAAAATTACCTACCCCACCTTTAAAGCCACAAGATACAAATATGAACCTGAAAATAGGGCCCCTTTAAAAAAAATTACAGGTAGGAGTTTATATTTTATATATTTATATATTTTATATTTCTGAAATTACTATTAAAAAATCTCCAAATAGATTGTGTATTAACATCACTCAGAAAAGGATAGTGTTATTATTATTATTATACTTTTAAAGCACCAAAAGGGTTGTGTTTTGTGTTGCTATGAACATTTAGGTAATACCTCAATCACTCAACAATTAATGTAGTTAATCCTTTACATAATACAATTAAAATACATCTAACTTGGCTCCAGCCGTAGAAACCTTCACTGCATTTGTTTCTCATTTTAAAATATTCCGATCTAGTTAGGTTAAAACGTTATTTTTCCTAAAGTGTAAGGTGAATTTGTTCTGCTGCAGTGTGACACTCACATCTAATTCCATTTGCTCCTTTCAAAGTCACCATATTGGGACAGCCAGTTATAATTGGAGCCATACATCCTGCACAGGCAGTATGGATTAATTCAAGTATGCTAATGTAATTCAATTTGATACAGTTAATCTTGTTCTAATGCAGATTGAAAGATGTGAGGTGCAATCAAATACCTCTTAGCCTTTTAATTTGCATCTGAGTTGAAGAAAAAAATAAAATTAGTCAATTTGTAATTATGTGACCTTGCTCATAATTAGTTTATTCATCACTGCAGTTAACTCCCCATTAGAAGTCTCAGAGAGCCATAGCCGGTACAGGAGAGAGGCTGAGGGAAGAGACTTATGTTTCTTCTCAGAACGAGGACACTCACAACATACATTTGTCTCTCATGTAATAAGCAGCTTCATGGGGAATCATGTGCTGTTTGAGAAAGGTCTTTGGACTTGTGATTGGATAATTCACTCAGGGATGTGGGATCTGATCAAACAGCTGCAAACTGAATGTGCTCGGTTCAATACTCAGTATCGTTTGTATAACTCTCCTCCATAAGTGATGCGTTAAAGGCATGAAACAGGCATCTGCATTATTATTTCAACATTGCAAATGGCACAGATGTGTCTGCAATAAGGAAAGGATATCGATTACAGATGGACATATAAACATCATTGGTGGAAAGTAAATAAGAACATTTGTTAAACTACTGTACTTAAGTACAAGTTTGATGTACTTTTACTTAATTTATTTTTTATAATCATTTAATATTGTCTCCACAGTAACATTAGATGGATGTCATTAAAGAAGAAGTGCCTCTTCAATCCTGTACATCAACTTGACATTCTCTTTTGGGTGCATATGATGTATTATATAAAAAGAATCATTATATCACATTATAGTTTTTTTAAGTTACTTATGAGCTCAAGTCTCCTAAACATTTTAAAATAGATATTTCTATGTTTGCAAGGATCCTAATAATGACATTTATTGTTGTTCCCATAGTTGCAATACAGGATTATCTTTCAGATCTGATCTATATCTCATTATAGCAGTGATTGTAATGCACTTGAATATGATTATAAGTTAATCTAAGTAAGTGATTCTGTCCTACCCCTCTTTTGAGGAAGACATTTTGTCCCTCCCCACTTAATATCACATCAAGGTTAGGGATGTCATGTGACCAGGTGAATTCTTCAACAAAAACAAATGAACTTAAACATGCAATTCTTTATTACAGATTGTTTAGTTTTTCATACATATTTCTCTGTTTAATGTCCACCTAACATTGCTATGATAAATATATTTTAAAAAATGTATTCATTCAGGTTTTCACCCGGTATAAAGAAACGTGACCTTATAAATCCTAATAAAAACATCTTAATAATGATTATTATTATAAAGCATTATGAGTATTTATGAGTGAATAATATAATGATGGGTTGTAAGCAGATTATAATGTATAGTAATAAACTATGTTCATAGTTTATGATGCAGTCAAAACATTGTGAAATGGTGGTCCCACACTGAAAAAATGCACCCTCTGGACACCTTCGTGGCAAAGATGTACACGCCCCAGAAAACTGCTATTACATCATCATACATCAATATGTATCTCAACTTTTTGTTTCATGAATCACTTAAACAACTTCTAAAGTACTCAAAACTACCAAACATTCGATCATTTTCAGGATTTTAACCATTCAACGCCTGTTTAATTATTTTAATTATTTCATTTCTCTTAAGAAAAAACACAAAAAATGAAATAGTTTCAATAATAATTAGTAGGGGGATTTGTAGTAGTAGTGGTTATTAGAGTCTTGGATGAGTCAAAGATTAACAAAAAAGTTGATTTGACTGCATTATTATTTTTTACGTAGTGTCAGATACTACCTCTGGACACCTTCGTGGCAAAAAATTATCCGTGCATGCTTACCGATTCTCACACACACACACACACAAATATTGATGTATGATGATTTAGCAGTTTTTTGGGGCGTGTACATTTTTGCCACGAAGGTGTCCAGAGGTAGCATCTGATACTACGTAAAAAATAATAATGCAGTCAATTCAATTTTGTTGCTAATCTTTGACTCATCCAAGACTCGAATAACCACCAAAGCCCCATCCCCCTACTAATTATTATATTGAAGCAATTTCATTTTTTGTGTTTTTTTGTCATTAATAATGAAATAATTCAAATAATGAATCAGGCATTTAAAGGGTTAACATCCTGAAAGTGATTGAATGTTTGCTAGTTTTGAGTACGTTAGAAGTTGATTCATGGAGAAAAAAAAAAAAGTAGAAAAGAATATTGATATATGATGATTTAATAGCAGTTTTTTGGGGCGTGTTAAGTAGATTACTAACACAAGTAATGTGCATAATAGATAAGCCATGTTTCTGCACACGATGTAGGAATGTGATAATGCAATAAGATGAAAGAAAGATCTATTTGAACAACTCTTGAAGTAGTGTTCAGTTGTCAAATCAATAATATTCATTATCCTTGTATACAAATATCTATTTAATAATGATATACTATTACGATAAAGTTATTGAAAATTCAATGTAATAGTTTATGATGTGTTGAATTCTTTTGAAATCGTGCTCCTAGATGATAGACATCGTTACACAACCGTGAAAGTTAAATCAATCTAACTTTCATGTACTTTGTGATGTAGGCAGATGATATGATGTAAGCAGTTTAACGTGCACAACAGACATATAACTCATGAGTTACCGGAAATTCAACGGTGATAGATCGTGTTGAAGAAATGTGAAATCCTGCTCCCAGAGGATTGACATTGTTACATGACTGTGAAACTTTTAACATTTCAGTTTCATTTGCCTTGTGCTTTAAGCAGATTATAACACAAGTATGTTTCAAAGGCATTATGGAGATAGGACTCATATCAGTTACCAGAAATTCAACATAATAGTTTATGATTGTGTTGAAAACATGTCAAATCGTGCTACCAGATGATAGTCATCGTTCTATAACTGTGTAAACGTTTTTGCGTTTTGATGACTTATTCCTGACTAATATTGAGTGTCTCTGTTCCGCAGTGCAAGTGGTCCAGAAAGGGATTCATCAGGACTCGATGGGCCCTGGCAGACTGGTGAGTTCCTGCAGAGACACTCCCCCCCCCCCCCCCATCATTCCAGCTGTGATCAGAGATTCTATCTCAGCGTGTCCCTGCGACGTGTGGTCCTGGTCATAGAAAGCACACAGCTGAACCCTCTCTGGACAGCAGGGATCTGATTACACCTAATCGCGTTAGTCAAGCAGTTGCATATGACAGATGACCAAAAAGATTACATGCAGTTGAACCTGTACGGCATGAATACAAACGCTTGCTTCCAGCGTGCACAACAGGGGATTGGGGGACTAGGAGGGGGGGGGGGGGGGGATCGTAATCTAATAGAAGGATGACATGAGAACTAAAGAGCTGAAACGGTAAGCATTTAATAGGGAGAGGGAGAAGGATAGGGAGATGGGAGAGACAGAGATAGCATGCATGTATTCATTTGTTCAGGTTGTCACTGCAGAATAAGCCCCTTGAGATAAGACTATTCCTCTGGGTGGGGGGGGGGCTGCCGAACACCATGCAAACAAAGCAGATTGATAGGATCTGCAGGGAGGTGTTCATCACTGTACATTGAGCTGTCTCGCTCCTGCCTGACAGAACAAACTGAAGGAGAGCAGATTAGTGTTTGTATGGAGAGATATGTGCCGTCATGAGGAGAGCCAGTCCTTCTGGGTCAGATAGCATTGATTTGATCCGCCTTACAAGGGGGGTGTCTTCAGGAGAAATCAGATCATTCAAACAAAGTGCGTAAAAATGTGTCCTTGTTGCTTTATTATTCTATTATTTATCGACTACTCAAAGGATTTTGTTGATTTGATCAAAAGATGTTTTTCTTTTCTCTAGGAAAAATCATCTCCACTTTAAATCCTCTGTATTTCAGAGACTTGCTTACTCTATTTGTTTCTTGGAACTAAATCATTCAGGATGTTAAAAGCATTTACAGAATGGCTACTTCAGAAATCTTTCTCAACCAAGAAAGTAGCCTTTCACATCACATTCACTTAAGTCCATTGCCATTGGAGCTTCATCCAAACCCTTTTATCAATGATTAAGTTTTAATGCAGTTAATGGATTCATTAAGAAATGAAATATAATTCATTTACATAAGCTGCAATGGTTGAATGAAATGTCTCGTGTTATGCGTGCATTTATGGATGAATCCATCTGGATAATGAAGTCACTGAGTGTTCTTTCATCGCAGTGCCTTTGATCTGGTCAACATCCACCTTTTCCATGATGCCTCCAACCTGATTGCGTGGGAGAAGAGCCCCTCTGTGTACTCCGGGACCAGGCAGAAGGCGCTGGGCTACGTCTTAGACAGGTAGGAACCCAACGGATGCGCTTTCATCCAGACTGTATTCCTGAACACAGTTCTCATTGACATGTGAGAAAGAGAGGCTGCGGGGAGAAACCTCTCTCTATTTACCCTGCATCTTGTTTAAGTGAATCTCCACAATATTTATGATTTATAAGTCATAGAAACTGACATTTTCTATGACCCCCATGTCTAGGATGTATAATTAAGCAAATAACAATATGTTTTGATCTGCTTATAGACTGTTACTGTATAATTACAGCAATTACCCCTCATAATGCTGCACAGCAATACGTCTATCCAGGTTACAAGATATTCACCATATTTGCTAGGTCTTCATCACTTACCCAAAAAACAATGGTTATAATTGGTTATCATTTCGAACCTTCATTAAAGGAAAAAATAACATGTATATCTTCCAATACCTTTTGAATTGTGTTACTTCTGTTAAATAACCTAGTGACCAATGACAATGATTACATGATATGCATTATAACAGGGATAAGAATACTATATCAAATATATTTAATACATTACAGATATGAGAATTATAATACACTATAATCCTTGCAAAACAATGTCAGTAAATGACCAGAAAATATGAAGTATGATGAGGCTTGACTAAATAAGTGTTTATAAAATGCTTATAATGGGTTTAATATGCAGATTATAAAGCATTTTAAGTGTGTTAATAATGCATTAGAGACATAGGTGTCATCCATTATGTAATCGATGTTTTAAATGTTTAAGTATTGTAAATGTAGTCAACTGTAAAACTTGAATATATACAGTAATGGAGGCTTAGAGTGAGACTGGAGAAGAAGCAGTGGGATTAAATGTGTCTAAAGCAGGGGGTCTTACTCACTACAGGGTCTGTGGACTATCTTTTCTTCTTCCGTCCCTCTCCTCCCACATAAGCATATTTCTTTTCTTGAGGTGTAATCCCATATTTGACGTTTTTGTCCCACTCCTAGTCCCTAGTCCCTACATGCAAGTAGCCAAGTATTTGTCAATTGCCCATTTGGGAAATGCTACTAAATCACAAACACTTTGGTCAAATTACTTTAAAAATACTGACCAGATTGCCAAGATATTTAAATGGTTTGTTTTCGTGACCCTCGCCTTTTTTTTGCCTGGGACCACCCTCTGCTCAAAATGTTTGATCAAAAATAAATATAGGATGAAAATGTTTTCCCCAATGGACAAATCCTAATTCCATTGCAATGACATTTACAGAACATTTTCATGTTCCCCAGAGGTGTCACCATTTCTACTTTGGACGCTAAAACTCAAAACCGATTGGTCTTATCTCAGTCAAATTTGAAATAGAAAGTCCATAGAGGTTGAACCCTAAAGTTGTTGGTCATCTCCGACTCCTGTTGAACTGTCATAAGGCCAACATTCCCAATCTTATATTAGACGTATTATTCTCTAACTATCTAATTAACTATTTAATACCTTAAGCACATTCTTGCTCCCAAGAGGATCAACCCTGAGAATAACATTTAGCATTTCTAATTCTGCTGGGGAGGCTTTCAGAATCCCATTGGAATGGTAACGATGCCTTCACTCTGGGTAAAGCCAGCCTCTGTACAAACAGGCGAGGCCGTCCATTCGTAGGCCGGCTAATGTGATTTATGGGATATCCATTTGCAGCGCAGCAGCATGAGAGAGTGCACGGTGCGACCCTGCTCCATACCTGGCCACGCTAACACACAATAAAAGCCTTGCAGCAGGTGACCTCCCATTCAAATGGCATCAGAATGCACGACGCCTCCACTTTGACTAACTACATGCGTATATGGGTGGCATACATTATCAGAGGGCTCTCCGATGCTCGTGAATTATGAGGCTCCTCTCAAAGTATTCTCTATAAGAGGTCATATTTTACCTGTGCTTCATTCTTGATTTGATGTAAGAATGGTCAGCTTTTAATGGACAGAGAAGCTGGAGTTTTGCCTTTTTATTATGCCGTAACTTACCTGGATTTACTGGCATGATGCAGTTTCTAAAGCAGCGCTGTTGTCGCTTACGTTTAAGTGTTTTCATTGTATTTCCTCTGCTTTCATCATGCTTTTTCAGCTGATTTATTTCCCCTTCCTTGTAAATACACCTAAATAGCGGCGTGTCTGAGGTTTAGCTGGGGGGCTGAGGGGATTGAATAGAAATGGTGTTGGCTGAGTGGCAGTTTCCACGCTCCCTCTTTCTAAATCCCCTTTGTGTTGTGAATGGTAACCTTGTTGTTACTTCTAGGCCATATCATTTAAAGGTTCTTTTTTGACATTGGTGGGGAGAGGGTTCTATGTTCCGGCTCCCCTAATATAGGAGGAAGAAATTATTTACTTTAGTTAAGTAGCAATACTACAGTGTAAACATACTCAGTTACAAGTAAAAGTCCATTCAAAATGTGACTTAAGTAACAGTAAAACAGACATCAAATCTAAATATACTAAGGTACTCGTTATGCAGAATGACCCATTTAAGCACCATATATTTAGAATATATTGTATTATAATTGATGTATGCATTAATTAGTTTACCCTTCAATGTTGCACTTGGTAAAATATGGTTTTATTGGTTTTTCTTTATATAATACTGAGTGGCTAAACCTCTAATAATATATAATAAGGAATTATTCGATTTATATTTGTATTAATATTCTAATATCTGCAGTGTAACTTCTAACTAAAGCTCTAAAACGAATGCCATTTTCAGAATAATATATATTTCATCACTGGATTATCATCAATGTTTTAAACATTTTGATTTGGCAGCTGGTAAAGGTGGAGAGAGCTTTTTTTAGACAGCCAGGTATTTCCATCAATAATAATACATCACAAGGCATTAGTTAAACTCAGTTCATGTATCAAAAATAAGAACCTGCAAAAGAGACTAGTAACTAATGTTGTGAAATAAATGAGGTGATATATATACTGTATATATATATTTGCCAACAAGATGTAGTGGAGTAAAGCATAAAGTAGCAAAAACTAAAGTACAAGTACTTCCATTTTTTACTTAAGTACAGTACTTGAGTATATGTACTTAGTTACATTCCTCCAGTGCTGCTAAGGGTACAGGGGGGGGGGGGGTAGTGGTGGCATCGCGCCTCACTCCCTCACTTTGGGGGACACTGTCGGGCGCAGATCCGGAGCGGCGGAGTGAGAAAGAGCTGGCGGTGCAGAGGGAGGAAGGGGGGGGAGCACAAAGGAGGCTTGGCTCTGTAAAGGGCAGTGAATAATGGGCTGGGCCTTTCACAGAGGCTGCTAACCTTTTGGCAGCCACCAGCAAACTCCATTCTCCTCCGCCAATCTGGGAGGACAATGTGCCCGGGCCGGCTTTGAATGCAGCGCTACCACCAACAGTGTTCCATTCAGGCTGGTTGGGAACCATCTTTTTGGCCATTGTCCTAACTCTGACTCCTACCCCAGAAAGCAGAGCAGGAAAAGGGACAGGGGGAATATCTAAAGCCAAACTCCCCCCTCCTTCCCTTCTTCTCTCTGCCTTCTCTGAGCTCTAATCTCTCAGGATTGGAGAGACCCCTGGTAGACCACCACACACACACAGACTGTAATATCCCTGATGGGAAATAACACTGCCTGTGAATATAAAACGATGTGCAATATACGCATGTGCAATATACCCTCGGACAATTTACTCTTTAATTTTCCTTCAATTCATTTACAATCTGTAAACATTACCAGATACTTATATTCTTCAATATTTGTATATGGTCATTTTTTTTAATATACTGCAACTTGTTTGTTAACTATGGTGTACTTATCTCTTATTTGTTTTACTTATTGTGTTTTTTTATTAATAACGCCTGCATACTTTTTGATATAGTATCTAAGTCTACTCTTAATCTGCTCTAGCTGTTGTAATACCGTAAATCTCCCCGTTGCGGGAAAAATACAGGAATTCTGATTCTGAAAAGGCAGGGGGGGGCTGAGTTCCATCCGGAGCCTGATCACACAGTTCTGCTGCGGAGCATCAAACTCCAGCCTCCACCTTATCTGAGGCGCAGGCCTAATAATGCAGCTTACGGCCCATTGAGGAGACATCTGATAAGCCTTTTCCTCTGTGGTCCTTTTAACTGCTAAACGGTGTTTATCTCCAAAGTGCCTCAAGGCCTCAGGGGAACAATGCTGAGAAGGAACAGCGTTTAGCCGGCCAGACCTCACTATTGAGTCACATCAAAACAGCTCTATAGCGCTGATGTGTGGACTTCCAAGCTTCAAATGCATCCCCTGCCTGTGTTCCTGTCCTTTGAAAGTGAGCACATGAGCTCCAAGAGTTATTTACCTTGTTGACACAGCTACGCCTTGATGTGGAGAATCACTGTTTTATAATTATGTCCAGGATTAATAGTGTTTGAGGCACACAATGTAAAAAGAAAAAAAACCATCATACTCCATGGACTAGTGCAATATTCAAATTCCAGGATGGACAATATTTTTGTAATGCTAAATGTTTTAAAATACCATTTAGTATGTAGCTGCAGAGATATCCCGCCATACAAATTATTTTCTTAAGACCTAACAAGACAATTGTTTCGAGCATATCCCTTAAAGAAATTGCACTCTAATCAGTTTAATATATTTTTCAATGATAATAAGTCTATAACTATGATGCATAAATGATCATTCCCTCCAATATCGTGAACAATATCACATTTGCAATATCTGTCAAAGCAATGGCAATAAGTAATTGTTTCCAAAGGGTGCAGCCCTAACGATATGCATGGTGTGTTTGCAGTGCAAAATAACCTTCTATGTGAGACAGCTGATGTGATGGAAGTGATGGTGAAACCCCTGGCCTCTCTAGAGGTTGGAAAACATGTCTGCTGAATGAGACCGTGAAATGATAGCATGAGATAAAATCAACAGGTTCTTTTCCACTTCCTTAAAAAAGAAAATGCCTTTTGTGTTTTGGAGTTTGTTTCTTTTTTCCAACGCCCTTTCAGAGTGGCTGGTCCGGTTCAGGGGAGAACAGTTTTACATTAC